CTTATTGCTAGAGCTACATACTGCCTGAGCCAGGTTTGGAATTTACAGAGATCAAGAAGACCAATTGCAATGTAAAGAACATTTTTCTGTTTTTCCTTTATTCCTAGAGTTTTGATTTCCCTTAGTGAAATGAACATATGAATTGACTATCCCTTATCCAAAATGCATGGGACGAAAAGTATTTCTAATTACATTTCTAAAAAATTTGGAATATTTTCACACACAATGAGAAATCTTAGGGTTGGAATCCAAGTCTAAACATGGAATTTATTTGTTTCACATACACTTTGTATATATAACCTGAAAATAATTTTATATATTTTTTTATTGCAGCATTTGACTGTGATCCATCACATGAAGTCATATGTCAAATTTTCTACCTGTGACATCACGTCAGTGCTTAAAATTTTTCAGACTTTAGAGCATTTGGGATTTCAGATTAGGGATGTTTAATCTGTAATGTATTGTCTCTTATGAGTCTACTAAGCTAACCAATTAGACCAAAAGTAGACTGCTTTTGAAAAAAAAAAAAGATTATAATTAGTTCATAGGTTGGGTTTTTTTTTTTTTTTTTTTATTTGCCTTTGGCCTGGCTTAGTCCACCTTTCTTCACCTCTAACCTCCCACACACACACACACATATTTGCACGCTACTGTCATAGAATTATAGTGGCACATGATGATGCTAACCATATTATTATGACAAAGATGAGAGAGCAAAATCTTAATGAAATTGACTTGCCCAAATCATGGATCAGGAACTCAAATTTTAGTTTGCTGGCTACACTACACTATTTTTCCCAACAAGCTGTTCTCATCTCTCCCCAGCCCCACCTTTAGCCAGGCTCTGTCTCATTCCTTCAGCATCTGGGCCAGCCATCAGTGACTGTTTCCCAATTGTGAATTGTACTTTCATCCAATTCTGCCATTAGGCTCAGCTGAAATAAAAAATAAAAAAAAAATTGTATACGAATTGGCAGCATACTTTCATGTTTTTTTCCCAGAAACTATAACTTGGCAAAAAACTTTTCTCTCTCTTTAAAGTTTTCTAACTATAAAAGGAATATATGCTTTTCATGGAAAATTACAAAAAAGTATGAAGTTAAAAATGAACATAATTCATTTTTTTGCCACCTAGAAATACCCACTTTGGTACAGGATTTGTGGTAATGCACTGATCAAGAGAAGCCAGATCCCACATGACAACTGTGGTTTCAGTCCTTGGCATGTCAGCCTGAAACACGCTGGGCATTCCAGTGAGCGTCCAACATCCAACAGGCTAGAGGTCTGGAGGAAGCAGACTACAGCCTGACCAGACACTGAAGACAGTACTCATCTTTCTCTTTCTGTCTTTCTCTCATGTTTATGTGTTCTGTCATGAATAAAGAAAAAAATTAAAATTAAAAGAGAAATCTCTACTTTTAACATTTAGATCTGGGCTGGCAGGTGGCATGGTAGTTGAGACAAGGCACTGGATTCCCACAGGGGTGACAGCAATTTGAGTCCTGGACATGGCAACTTGCTTTCTCACTTTCCCTTTCTCTCTCTCTGGCCACATTAAAATAATAACAATAATAGGAACCAGCAGTTAGAGTAATGGTTATGTTGCTGGACTCCCATGTAGTCGACCATGGTTCAAGTCCCGGACCCGGTGGCTTAAACTCATGCCCGGCACGTGTGCATGTGTGCCCAAGATCCCAAGAGGAGAATGGAGGAGAAGGGATTGTGGCGTGGCCATCCCCCCTGGGGGGTGATTTCTCACTTTCTATCTCTCTGTCTCTGTCTGTCTCTGGCAAGCGCACGCACCCTATAGCAAAAACCTCTCCAAAAATAAATAAATAATAGCAATAATAATAGAAACAAATGAAATTAAATGAAATAATTCTTTAAAAAACATTTTAAGGTTATATATTTTGTTCTTTTCTATTTCCACAGCTTTTTACCATAAAACGTAAAGCTGGATAATGAAACAATTATTTGTGTTTTTCACCCCTACTTACCACAGTTTTTTATTTCATTAGTGATTACCCAAAAACTGCTTTTTTATTATTATTCTTTTCTTTTAGCTTTTTTGCTATAGGGCACACACACTTGCCAGAGAGACATAGAAAGAGAAAGTGAGAAAGTAGTAGGTAGGCATCATATGTACTACAATTTTTTTTTAGAATTATTATATTTAACTTTATTTATTTATTATTATTATTATTATTTTAGAGAGGTTTTTGCTATAGCGTGTGTGCGCTCACCAGACAGACAGACAGAGACGGAGAGACAGAAAGTGAGGAATCACCCCCAAGAGGGGATGGCCACACCACAATCCCTTCTCCTCCATTCTCCTCTCGGGATCTTGGGCACGCACGCACATGCACCCGGTGTGAGTTTAAGCCACCTGGTCTGGGATGCGAACCGCTGTCGACTACATGGGAATCCAGCGACATAGTCATTATGCTAACTGCTGGTCCCTATTTTTTATTATATTTTTAATATTTTGAAAGAGAGAGAAAGTGAGAAAACAAACCTCCAGGTCCTGGACTTGAACCACAGTTGGCCATGTTGGAGTCCAGTGCCCTTAACCACCATGCTACTTGCCAGCCCTACAAATATTTTTAGATTCTTAATACATATTGACAAATTGCTTTCCAGAAAAGCTGAGCCAAGATTACAGGTACCATATTAAATGATAATGTTCAACTCTCCATACTCACAAGCATAGAACAGTATCTTTTCTTTGCTAGGTTTAGTAATCTGACAAACAAAACAGTTATATTTATTGTGGTTTTTGTTTGTATGTCTTTAATTCATTCTGAGGTCAAACTATTTGTCAATATTTATTTGCTGTTTATTTTCTTCTGTGATTTCATATTCATAGCTTGTTCTGTTAAATTCTTAGTACCTTCCTCATCAATCTGTATTATTTCTTTATACATTTATATATGATCAGTCTATCTCTTGTAGGAGCTAAAGTTTTTTAAATAATTTATTTTTACACATACAGAATAATTTTCCACTGCTGTGTTGTTATTGTAATCATCTTTGCCTTCGTGATTTTTTTCTCCCATTGTTCACTTCGAATCATTTTTCCTAAAATGTCTGTTATGTACTGACTTGCATATTGAGCTTTTTCATTTTGGTATGTGTTTTAAAATGACTCTCAACTGATTTTGTTTTTCAGTTTGCTTCCTCTATCCTGTCCATGGCATAATTAACACAAGATTTTTGACTGGGAAGAAGCCACAGGAGTGCATAATATGGAAGCCAAAGCTGTGCAAACTGCTATCATGCATAAAGGGAAGTGCAGAGCCAAGTGAAAATGGCAGATCATCCAAGCAGGCAAAAAGGAACCACATGAGTTGTTTTTTCTATGTTTGTCTATAATAAGGGTTGAGAGAACTAATAAAGTTGATTACAGTCACAAACTGTTTTTGATGTTCTGGACCTGTCTAGATAGTACTGGGTCTCCTAACCAAGACGCAAAGTGATTTAGAAAAAGTTACTTTAGGTTGGCCCTGTGGCCTGCTGGTAGAGGGAGATCTCAGATGGCTAACTGCATGGTTTGAATCTTGGGCTGGCAGCTTGAAAATTGCTGTGTGCATGTGTGTGCCTGCCAAAAATGATTGTAGTGTGACCGTTCCCCATTGGGGTATGCTTTCCTTTTCTCCCTCTATCCCCTCTCTCTGGCAAATACATGTGCCTTCTGGCAAAGTTAAAAAAAATACTTAAAAATTTTAAATAAAATGTCTGTATAGAACCAGAAATGGATCAACATACATTAAATAAAATAAACTATTAGGCAAATGATATACCAGTAGCACTCCCAAAAGAAAGAGAGAAAAAGAAAGAAAGAAAGAAGCTTCTTATCCTCTAAAACTTTTAATTATGACAAAAATTATTCCAATTAATCTGATCCCATTAAGAGTTATTGAATTTCAGGCTCTGTAGATCTGGTTCCATAAAGATGTAATTAAGACATCTTAAGAAAATGAAAAGCATGCCACTTTCTGGGAAAATACACTGATAGACTGACAAAGGCCATTTACCCATATTTAAAGAAGTATACAAATCCACAATAAGAAGATAGTCTAACTTTAAAAAAAAATATTTATTTTATTTTATTTATTCCTTCATTTATTTTTAAATTTGACCAGAGAGAGACAGAGGGTGAGAGAGAGAGAGAGAGGAAGTGAGAAAGCAAGCCACCAGATTCAGGACTTGAACCCTGGTCAGCCATGTGGAAGTGTCCAGTGCCTTAACCACCACTTGGGCAAAATATTTGAATTGGCACTTCAGAAAAAGACCAATGAATGACCACGAAGCATATGAAACTCTTTCAACATTAGGCATAAGGGAAGTGGAATAAAAAATCACAAAGCTACCACTCACATCCACTAGAAAGTACAAAAGACAATGCCAAATGTTGGCAAGGATGTGAAGCCACTGGAACTTGTATCACTGGTGAATTGAAAATAGTATAACCACTTAGGATAACTATTTGGACATTTCTTATGAAGTTAAGCATGCACTTATTATAGTGTCCATGAAGTCCCTAATAGTCCATCTCAACCCAGTCCTCAGCACTGGTGTGTTGCTTTCCCTGCACCCAGATTTTTTTGTGACTTTATTTTATCAAGTTTTCTATTCTCTCATTTTTCATTCAAAATAAATTCTCCCTAATTAACCATAGAGACTCATGTCTTCCAAATTCATTCTAAGAGGTATACATATGTGTGTACATATATGTGTGTGTGTGTGTGTGTGTGTGTGTGTGTGTGTGTATGTGATGGCATAAAGTAAGCGGGTATAATTTAAGATTAGATGTTTATTTTGACAAAATAAAATGGCAGTTGTTTTCTTTATGATGGTTATAGATGCTAATTATATATCCAAGACACCAATGAAAATAGAACATATACTAATAGAAGAAAGACAATATTTAGATGTAAAATTTTTGCTTCATATGCAAATATAGCTTTCTTTAACAGTAGAATAAGAATCACATCATAGTCATTTGAAAAATCATTTATTATATACCAATATACACTTTCTGTAATAAAAAAGCCTCCCAATACATTGAACCATCTTATAAATGAAATAAGAAAATAAATTTTTATCTGTTTACAAATGGGGTTAAATTAATCAGCACAAGATACCATATGTATGTCTGCCCTGCAGTATATGTGAACTCTAATCCTGAAAATGGCCATGAGAAAAAATGGTACTTTATTATTTGGCACTGTAGTATTGCTCTTGAATATTTATATAATTACACATTGATATTTTCAAGTTAGTCATTCTAAATGTAAAACGTTCAAAATATATACAGATTTTACAGTTTCCAATTTTTTGGATTAATTTCTGATATTTACACTTACATACACTCAGGTTAAACAGTTTTTAACATTCAGAAGATAGCTTTTTTCACTTTCTATTTTGATACACTCTTTAGATAAAAAAAATGAAAATACATCTTAAAGATGCTACTTGGAAGTTTTTTTTTCCTAAATAATAGTAACTCAAAAGTTATGACAGTTTCTAGTAATGCTCAATTTCCATAACAAAGTGCACCATTTAATAGTATTATGCCTTTAGAAAATAATACAGAAAATAAATATTTATTTTATTGGGCATATTCAGAGAACAATATGGAAATATGATTTATCATCATCGTATATTGTGACATTTATACTTGGCTTTGCTAAAATATACAAGTATTCTTACTACTGATTTGAAAAGAAGTAGAAAATTTCCAAAATTCTGGGCAGTGAATAGTAATTTTTAAAATCCATTTTCACGTAAATATGTTTTAGAAGAGAGCAAGAATGACAGTTTGCATTTATTGATAGTATTAACACATTTCATTTTTTGGAGAACCACTCAACATTTTATTAAGTGACAAATGAATGTCAGTAAACATCCATGAAAGCTAAAACCAAATCCCATTTTGGATATGATATATTAAAAGAACAACCTTAGTATTGACATAATTTGCAAATAAGGAACTTATTGTCTTATAGATGATTATGATGTTATTGTAAACATTGAAGAAGAGCATTAGTGAACTATACATAACTTAGGTTTCAAATTTAAAAATCCTTAATAGACAGATACATACAAATGGATTTTTGAGCCTTCCAACTTAATTCCTTACCCCAGCCCCAATAATATAAATGTTTTGACTGTGAAGAAAGAAACTAAACGTGTAAAAAACAAAAATCAAATGTAGCATATGTTAATATTCTGATGACTGCAGAATAAGATTATATACATAAACATAGCAAGTCACAGTTTCCTGCACTGAATGTTTATCAAATAAAAATGTATCAAACAATACTGGGTAGTGTATCTCCACATAAATCGTGGTCTTCTAAAAATTCTGAATGAGAATGGAAGACAGAGAGAGAGAGCATTGTTCAATGACAAAGTATGACAAGAAGACTACAAATAACATCGAAAAGCAGATACTTCCAGAGCAGGCAGTTTATCTACAAGCGTTAATTTTGTTGTTGCTCTATAACTTAAATAAAGCCCCTTTCTATGTAGTAGGATATTTTAACATGTACCAAAATTTCACTAGATGAAATCATCATGAATTCACTATCACAAACAGAATGGGCAAAATATTCTTTCACTCTTGACAATAAGATGACCAAATTGGTGATTATGCATATACCTTCCAGGGACAGTTTATATGACATGACTTTTGCCTCTGTTACAAAGCAGACCCAGAGTATTTGGTGCCAGACTGGGGGAAGGCATTAAATGGAGATAGCTTTGCCACCAGGGCATTTTGTTTGATGTTCTGATAGCTTACAGGTATTTGGTACTTTTAGGGGGTAGGGATGGGGAGAAGGCAGGGGGAAAGCATAGTATCCCGTGACTGTTATATGCAGCTACCCTTACTCTGCTTGTACAGCAACAAAAATACACCTCTATCATCTCATACTGCTCTAGTAAAACCTCAGGAGAAACATGCACCACAGATTTTAAACACACAAACAGCCATTCTTGACAAAAACAATGATCCTTCTCTTCGGCAGGTGTCTGGTGATCTTACTAGTAAACATCTTTGGAATCTTCTTGTTATTTCCTATGAATAACATTCCAATCAAGACGACTCAGATGTCTTTTTGAGAATAACTTGCAACCATTCCAATAGAAAGAAAATATTTTTCCTTTAGTTAGTGATGCTTGGAATTTGGAGGATTGTAAATCCAGTCAATTATAATGAGTGCCATGCTTCCAATCATGAAGATGATTCCAACCACGAGGAAAATTAAAGCCTGTAATTGAGGAGAAAATGTCAGGACACAGAAACTATACTTGGCACAGGTGGGTTTTTTTTTTTTTTTTTTTTGGTGTGTGTGTGTGTGTAAGTTGTTTATTAAGGTGGCAATCTGAATTGCATATTGAATTGCACTATTAACAACAACTAAGATGCTTATGCCTAACAAATCAATTTAAGACCCTAGTTGGGGAAAGGAGGGCAACATAGCGGAAATATATAACCTAAAGCTTTAACAATAGAGTGATGGAACATCAAATTATTGAAATATTATCCTGTGATTATTAGTAATCAGATAGGAAAAGTTTTAATGGACTAGGAAGTCCTCACAATCTTTTAGGTAAAAAGGAACAGGTTGTAAGAGAGTAGTATATATGATATAGAACTAATTTTATTAGCAAACAAATAAAAATATATGCTGCATTTTTCTGGGAAAAAGAAAGTATCTATATGTGTATGTGTATATATTCATGTAATACATATTATATAGGTATATACATACACATTTCAGAATTTTAATAGTCGAAAAAAGTCTTACATAGATCTACATCCTAATTTTTTCCTCTAGTTATGAGAGAGAAAGAGGGAGAAAAAGAGAAATAGAAAGACAGAGATGGGCATCTTTCTTTTTTTGGAGAGGTTTTCCCTATAGGGCGCATGTGCTCACCAGACAGACAGAGAGAGACATAGAGACAGAAAGCGAGAAATCATCCCCCAGGGGGGTGGTCACGCCGCAGTCCCCTCTCCTCCACTCTCCCCTCGGGATCCTGGGCACGCACGCACACATGCGCGGCGTGAGTTTTAAGTCACCATTCCGGGACGCGAACTGTGGTCGACTACGTGGGAGTCCAGTGACATAGCCATTCCGCTAACTGCTGGTTCCCTGGGCATCTTTTTTTCATAAGGTCTCTTCATGTTGGATCCTCCTACCCCAGCATCCCAATTAGCTATGATAACAGGTGTGTACAATTGTGCTTGGTGTGTTCACACTGGCTGGGAACCAAATCTGAATTCCCATTCGGCTTCCAGCCACCTGCCCCCCGCCCCCCGTAGGTGCCACCACACCTGAACCACCCTCCAAATTTTAAATATGAGAAAGTAGCAGCTAATTTTTTCTTTTTATTAGAAAGGGTCTAGGAGATAGTTTTACCCATTTACTTCTGGTCAAAAAATGAATCATAAATGGGTCAAATAACTTGACCAGGTCACATTGCTGTGAAAGTCCAAGCAAGATGAGTTCAGGGACAAGATAGTGGAAGGAGTTTTTGATACTAAACTGTCCTAAAGTCCCTGAGCAATCCCAAAAGATGAATGGCTTCAAGACAAAAACACAGTAATTCATTCAGAAGCATTTGTTTCAAGTCTTCATATAAGATCTGAAGAAGCAGTCACTGATCATATAATGTGTAGTTACTGGAAAAACACTTAGTTGTTTCTAGTATGTTTTTCTGTAGTTTTATTATTGAAAAGAAGTAAGTACTCCTTGGTCTAAGAAGACTATATTTTAGAAGTCAACTGGAAAATCAGTGGTTCTGGTTTGGATCTCAGTCCACAACAGACAAGAGCAGAGTATTATGGAGGGGAAAACAAAAGCAACATTGTTTTCCACGGTCTTGTAAATCTCACATAACCAAAATGTTTAAATTATTCCATAACATTGCTGGGGAGCTTACTTCCTTCCTGCATAATTTCACACAGTGCTGGCAGTGGCTTGGCACTGGAAACCGGTACACACGAAAGCACACATGTTCATAGGAAAACCCCATTGGCATTAGACATGTAGGAGGGACTCAACATAGCTATTTGTTATCAGAACAAAAGAAATCCGAACTCATCCGGAGGGACAGATAGCCACCCCTTTCCCTCCTACCTGCAGGTTTCAGTTCATGTTTGATTTTTGGTTCTTGTTCATTGATTTTTTTTTTTTTTTCTGAACCATGTCTATTTCAGGGTTCACTCTAAGTAAATAGTTAAAGAGCAACTTACAACAGGAGAAATTGCAAGCTTTACTTACCCCAACTTTCTGGGGTGACCTAAGAGGTTCTTTCTTGACAATTCGAAGATAAAAAGCTGCTGGAAGAATGAAAATCAGCATAGTGGCCGAAGAAGCCCCTAAGAAAGAAACATAGAAATGGACGAGACTTAAACAGCAAAGCAGACATCCGGGAACACACGTTTTAAACCAGGTATAAAATGAGTGTCTTCTTAGCACTAAAAGCATGTTGTTTGTTTTAGGTTTTTGCCATAGGGTGTGTGCACTTGCTGGAGAGACAGAGAGAGAGGTAGTGAGAAGGAAAATGAGAAATCACCCCACTAGGGGAGATAGTCATGCTGCAATTCCTTCTCCATTTTCCTCCTGGAATTTTGGGCACACACACAGACACCTGCCTGGCATGAATTTCAAGTTGTCAGGTCTGGGACTCTAACCAGTTCTTTTCCAATAACTAAATATTATCAGTGACTGCTTATTCAGATCTTGTCAGTCAGCCACTTAGGAGTCCAGTGCCTTAACTGCCATGCCACCTGCTGGCCCACAAATTTAATCACATAAACTCATCTTGGCTGCTCATTCATAAAATATATGTTTATAAAGAAAACTGAAATACACAGTAAGCAATAAAGGGCTGAACTAAATACAAACTTATAGGATTAGCAACATAAATACATATTAAGGAGATGACCTCATCACACACTTTTTTCTTATCTACCTCTTATTCTCAAGTTGCCTATAATGCATTTAAAATTTTTTCTTTATTTATGAAAAGAGTGTATGCATGTGTGTGAGAGAGAGAGAAAGATGAGTCAAGTCCACAGGATCTGGTCAGTGGCAATCCCTTTGCCCCAGTGCTCCAGTCCATCAGGTCTTGACCTCCACTCCGATGTGCACCAGCACATCCCAGGCCAACTTGGCCAGTGACTTGAGCTGCAGTTGCCATGTGAGATCAGCCTCTCTTGCGTGGTGCAACTGCTGCACTGTGGAGCCAGCCTTTGAATCATTTCTAAAGTTTATGTTGTATTTAAAATTTGAGTAACCCCTCTATCGGAACAAAAAATTAAACAGACAATTAATGGAAATAATACACTTAAAAAATCAACCTGCTCTTCTTCTGGAAATATCCTTTAATGCTCAGCTGATACTCAGAGACTCGAGAGAGCTTTTGGTAGAAAAAAATCTATCTTCCTGACTCTTTTCATGATGTCAACGTTAAAACCTAAGTCCAAATCCTGGGTCTATCCCAAAGCTCTATCTTGACGTTTATGTGGCTCAGTTTCCTCATCTGTCAGAAGTGGGAACTGAACTAGACGACCTTTAAGGCAGCCCTGGGAGGGAGGGAAAGCGACAAGCTCAGTCAACAAAAGTAATGGGAGTCCTGAAAGCCTGAGATCCTTGACTACCCAGCACTGGCTCCTTGTCTACCATTTACTAAAGTATAAGTTTGGGTTGAATAAATAAAAAGCCTTTCTGAAACTTACCAATGAATCCAAAGATGTATTTTATAGTTGGCACAAGGATGACCAGAAGATTATTAAGTGCAATAAGTATGGCTGCAATCAGGAAATGCCTTATCCAGCTAAAGGGTCTTTTGGGAAATAACAGGGTGATCACTGATGTACGAATCTGCAACAAGTTCAAAGGAAAGAAAATTTCTTTGTTTTTGAGTTTATTTACTATTTCAAATATTCTCATCAGTTTAAAGCTTTCTTTTTTCTTGTTCCTCCAAGAAAGCTCTTGATGCCTTTTTTAACCCATTTTTTTTATCGTGGTAAATGGTAAATGACACAGAATTGACTGTCTTCAGCTTCTTTAAGTGTGGAGTTCAGTGGTATTAAGTACATTCATATTGTTTGCATCTTCGAATACCAGTATTTGATTTTGACATAGTGTCATTATCCCCTGCTAATATATTATGTGTTCACTTTCTCAATTCTCAGAATTTTTTGTTAAAAATAATGTCATTTGGAAAGAGATAAAATAACAGCTAAGATACATAATTCAGAGACATAGTACAACCCTTGTTGATTGCTAAATATGTCTCATCAAGCTATATTAAACATTAAGAGTAAGCACTGAATTGATTTACATGAGATTTTTACAAACCTGGGTTTTTCTTATTATGTGTTTTTTCTTTTTTAAAAAAATTATTTATTTACAGACATATAATATACATCAATACAGTATACAAAAGGAGATTTTCCATCCAGAATACATTGTATATTGGCCCAATTAAGGATATTACCATACATGTTATCATCAACAAATAATTTTCTATTTCTTGTTTCTTGTATATTTTGCTTTTTCTTCCCTTGATTCCCTACCTCTCACCCTCTGCCAATTCCCCTCCTTAACGCACACTGTCACTGGTATCTACAGTTGTTTTCCATGCCTTTTTATTCACATTTTATTGATTCACTAAAGATCTTAATTAAGTTAAAAACGTTCAATAGCAAGCACAGGTGATATATATATATATATATATA